GCAATCTCCCTACTGGACATATACCTAGAAGAGGTAAGAAACAGACCATGGTCAGACGGCTGTGTTCCCTTTCGTCACGGCGCAGTGCACAACTGCAATGAGTTGCAAACAAGCTAAATTTCCATCAACAGATGAATGGATTAAAAAACCCTGGTACATACATACAATGGAGTACTACGCATCCCTAAAAAGCAGTGATGAAGGCATGAAGCACACTGTTGCATGGGAAGAGTTGGAGGAAATTATGCTAAGTGAAGCCAGCCAAGCACAAAAGGGCAAGTACAACATGAGTGCACTGAAGTAAGCTTAAAAAGCACAAGGGGCTCAGGGGAAATGAATACATTCCCAAGGCGAGGCCCAGGCACGCTGGCAGGGGTCAGACACAACCCAGAGAGGCATATGGCAGTCAACTAAAGAGGGGAAAAGAAAGAAAAGAGGATGTGGATAGCGGGGGAACAGGGCACTAACCCACAGGGACAAGGGGCGGCTACTGTTTATGTCTACACAGGAAAGGGAGAGAGGGACAAGATCTCAACCTGGTATGCCAATCCTTGAGGGCAACACACTAGCATGAAGCAGAAAACTAACAGAGAGGCCTGTGGGGCCAGCTCCAGTTCCAGCTATATCAACCCCCACCCCAGAAGATTGTACTATGAAGGACAGCACAGAAGATACAGCCCAGAGAGAGTGGTGGGTCTGCTGAGACCACAAGGGAACAAACTAAGAGGGAGCAGGGGAGGGAGAGGAAGGGAGGGAAGGAGAGAGAGAGAGAGAGAGAGAGATTGAGAGAGAGAGAGAACACTGCATCAGGGGCTGGCTCCATCACAAGAACGACATCCCCTCACTGACCCAGTGCGGCAGGGGACAGCACTGGAGACAGGGTGTAGGAATTGTGCCTGGTCTGATCCCCCCTATATACTGGGGTGAAACAGGAAGGGAGCAAAGCAATGGAATCCCCGAGGAATCTGGAAAACAGACTTCTGATGAGGGCAGGGCTTGGCACCTCATCAGACTGAATCAGGAAACGTGCATAGGGTCACCAGACAGACCTGGACCAATTTATAGCTGCCGCACCCCCTCCCACCCTTTTTTGCCTCTCTTCTTCTTCATGTTGATCTATATCAGATAGGCAAGATAAACAATCCCAAGGAGAAACAAAGGGACCAACAACCGTTGGGGGGTGGGGGTGGTCAGGAGAGAAGGGGAGTGGGGGAAAAGGGAGGGGGGAACAAACAAACTCAGGAACAAGAGATCTAAAATCAATGGTGAGGGTGTAAAACACCTGGTGGGACTTGATCAAGTGCAATGTACCCCAGAGGAATTATTGAGAGCCAAATGAAGGCCGAACATGAGTGTAGGCCTTTCACTATGTCCAAAGATTGTGCAACGAGGTCTTGCCATCCTTCTTCCAAGACGGACTTGTCTTTCTGGCAGTCCCTGGCACCTTCAATATTATTTTCCAGTACCACATTTCAAATGCATCCATAATTCTTTGGTCTTCCTTAGTCAATGTCTAATTTGCACATGCATATGAAACAATTAAAAATACCATGGTGTAGATCAAGTGGACCTTAGTCCTCAAATAAACGACCTTGCTTTTATACATTTTAAAGGGATTTAAAGTGCAGATTTACCCCAAGCAATTCGCCATTTGATTTCGTGACTTCCTACTTCCATGAGCATTGACTGTGGATCCAAGCAGGAGAAAGCTCCATCTCCCATGATGTTATCTACTGGTCCAATTAAAACTGTTGTGATTCTGTTTAGTTGAGCTGCAGTCCATACTGGAGGCTGTGATCCTTGATTTTCATGATCAAGTGTTTCAAGTGCTCCTCGCTTTTAGCAAGCAAAATTGTCATCTGTATGTCACAGGTTAATTAGCATTCCTCCAATCTGAATGCCACATTCTTCACCATAAAATCCAGTTTCTCTAATGTTATGCTCAGCATGCATTTCAATTAAGTATGGGGAAAGGGCACAACCCTAACACAAACCTTCCCTAATTTTAAACCATGCAATTGTCCCTTGTTCTGTTCACACAATGGCTGGCTCTTGCCTCTGGATCAATGTACAGGTTCTGCATGAGAATGGTGTACTGTTCTGGGAGCCTCATTCTTCTCAAGGCTATCTATAGTTGGTTATGGTTCACACAGCTGAATGCCTTAGCATAGTCACTAAAACACAATGAAACATCTTTATGGTATTCTCTACTTTCAACCAAGACCCAGCTGATGTCATTCATGATATGCCTTGTTCTGATCCTCTTCTGAATTGGCCTAAACCTCAGCAGCTCCCTCTCAACGCTGTATTGTTGCAACCTTTGTTGGATGATCTTCAGCAAAATTTTACTTGCATGTGATATTAATGATATTGTTCTATACTTTAAGCATGTGCTATGAATTATATTATTCCATAATAATTGAGCATTCTGCTAGGTCATCTTTCTTTGGAATAAGTAAAACTAAGGATCACCAAGTAGCTGTCTTCCAAATTTCCTGGCATAAACTAGTGAGTGCTTCCAGTGCTTCATCTGCTTGCTGAAACACTTCAATGGGTATTCCATCAATTCTTGGAGCCTTGTTTTTTGATAATGCCACCATCACAGCTTGGACTTCTTCCTTTAGCACCATTGGTTCTGGCTCATATGTTACTTCTTGAAATGGTTGAATGCCAACTAGTTCTTTTCGATGAGGTGACTCTGTATTCTTTCTATCTTCTTTTGGTGCTTCCAGTATCTTTCAATACTTTGCCCATAGAATCTTTCAAAATTGCAACTTGAGGCTTATTTTTTCTTGAGTTTTTTCCGTTTCATGTGCTGAGCATGCTCTTCCCTTTTGGGAAGATGTCCTCCCACAGCTTATCAGGTCTTCTGTAATTAGCACTAGAGTGCTCCTTAGTGGCAAGGAAGGAAAGACTTCATCTTATATACTTTGGACATATTGTCAGGAGAGACTAGTCTATGGAGAAGGACACCATGCTTTGTAAAGCGGAAGGACAGTAAAAAAGAGAAAGGCCCTCAATAAGATAGATTAACTCCATGGCTGCAACAATGGGCTAAGGTACAGGAATAGGGGTGGCGCAGGACTATGCAGTGTTTCATTCTGTTGTGTATAGGGTTGCTATGGGTCAGAACAGACTCAATGGCACCTAACTACAACATTTTAAAAGACAGCATGAGTGAGACTTTGTTTCAGAGACTTTTGATATGTTGTCAGGAGAGACTAATCCCTGGAGAAGGACACTGTTTGGTAGAGGGGTGTAAAATAATATTGAGACCAACTCTTTATCTTAAGTTACTAATGGGATCAAAGAGGGGTATGATCTACAATGAGAAGACTTATAGATAAAAGGTAGATGCAGTTGGAGAATGGAGGTTCCTGAAGCATAGACACTCCAGGGCCTCAACCTTTCTTAGAGACAGGCTTAAATACCTTTCCTGCATGTAGACTGTAACCCGTGACAAGGCTACACAATGGTACAGTTCATAGTTCTTTGAAGGTTTACAAAGATGCATGAACACATCAGTCAGGTATGCACAGACGAGAGGGGAGGATGAGGCTGGGAACACGAAGTAACTGATAAGTTTGCAGCCTGCTGCCTTCTGCAGCTTAGTCAGGGAACAAAAGGCAAGTGTCTATCTCAGGCAGAGACTGCTTCAGCAGTTCCCATGGCTTGGGCCACAAACTATGGAAAGTGGTGGCCCTGTTGTTTGCCTAAGAAGCAAACAACTTATGCCCCACAGAGGGGCAGCAAAAAAGAGGAAGATGGGCAAGATGGATTGACACAGTAGCTCCAACTATGGACTCAAGTGTAAGAACAATTATGAGGATGGCATAGTGTTTCGCTCTGCGGTACATAAGGTCTCTATGGGTCAGAACTGACAAGATGGCACCTAGCAGCAAGAACAATATCTGATAATGTTTTGAAGCTATGAATAAAGTTCTCAGCTGCTCCTTCCTCTAGTAGGCAGTTGATTCCTTCTTCTTAGTTTGTTCTTTGTCTGGCAGTTCTGCTGAAATCTATCTTCTTTGGGTGACCCTGTTTACTGTTCATATACCAGTGACATTATTTTCACCATCCCAGGAACACACAAGCCACCGCAGTAAAACACACTGACAAGACAACTGGGGGATGTTCAAGAGAGTACTTAAAAAAAGCAACAACAAAGTAACTACGGCTTTGAGTCATTTCTGACTCATAGCGATTCAGTAATGGTAGAACTGGCCTTGCGAGACTGCTAGCTAGCCTTGGGTTAGGCGCCGCCTGCCCCAATCCACTACACTACCAGGGCTTCTCTAGGATAGCACTTGCAGCCTCTCTGGAGGTCCTTGGCCTGGTGCTCTGCCGTCTGAATTCAGAAATCACAGAATCAGTGGCCCAACTGCAGTAGAAACTAACACAGGCCAAGGGTCTCACTCAGGGAAGCATTTACTTCAAGGCGAACTTTAGGTTCGGAAGGAGTTAACAGCTTGGTCTCTGCGGAGTGGAGATGACCCGGGGTGGTACCATGCAGAGATATTGATTTCACTTTTAGAAATATATGATAACTAGGAGGAGGAAAGTGTCTGTTTATTGAGACCTGGGGTTGGGATAAGTATGGGGTCCACCCTTCACTCTCTCTTAATTGGTCAGACTGGAGGTGTCATGGCGATGGTCTAAGGCACGGTAAACTCCCTGGCGCCTGTGGTGGTGGTTGTACTGTGCCTTGGAGTCGGTTCCGACCCATAGCGTCCTTATGCACAGCAGAATCAAACACTGCCCAGGACTGCCCCATCCTCACAATCGTTCCTATGTCATGGCACCAGTGTGCGTGATAATCGGTAACAAGGTTTCTTTAGGGCCTTTCCTTCCCCACCACGGATGCCCACAGTGGGGGAGACTTTTCTCACGGCAGAGTCCTCGGATTTGTACATTTTACTAGTTATTCAGCTGAGTTATTTTCCAGTTTCCCTGTCCCGTCCACCCCACCCCCACCCCCGCCTGCCCGTCCCCAACAGTACCTTTGGTTAGATTTATCTTCTATGTCCATTAGTAATTCAGAAGGGTATATTTCCTAATTGAGACACTTCCCTGCAATACTTCCCTAGATGTTGACCCGGAGTGTTTCCATTGTCAGCGATTTTTTTTTCTTTCTGTCAGCGAGAATCCTCGTGCACTTAAAGAGCTGAAGGCAAGGTTAAAGATGGCCGACAGCCGATTTCGATTTCTTGGGTAAAGTCTAGAAACCCAACTAGGATTGCGGAAGTCGCGGAGAAGCAGCTGTCCCCTCCAGCTCCAGCTGGCCAGCGCTGTACCTCCCCAACTTTGCGCCCTTCTGAAACCTGGCGTTGGCGCACCCCAGAGCACGGTGGGAGTTGTAGTTCCTAATGGTCCAGCACGGTCCGCGCACGCGCTCTGAGCCCACCTTCCCGAGCACACGCCTTCTTGCGCCGCGTCGTGTAAGGAAGCGGCCAGCGATGCCACGGCCATGTGGGCGGGGCATCGCAGGGCCGTGGGTGGGGGCTTCTGGGAATTGTAGTCCCTAGGGCGGGCACTGTCGGTAAGGAGACGTAGCTTGCTTGAGGTTCCGCTACCGCTGTTGGTTCCCGGCTGGAATCGCTGGGTCAGTTTGCTGCTCTCCCTCTCTTCGGGCATCTGAAGCTGAGGCGGTGCTTTCTTTCTCCTGGCCTCTCGCTCTCCGAGGCTGAGTGCTTTTTGCCCTGCGGTCCATTTTCCTTCTTAGTCTTTTCCCTCAGGGGTCCATCTCCAAGGCAGGGGTTCGCCCTCCTGCAGAGGCAGGCCCGCGACCTGCTCGACGCTGCCCCAGCCCTGCAGCGAGCGACCCTTCTCTCCCTGCTCTTCCGACCAGTCTCTCTCCCTGACTCTTAGCTCCCCTTCGCCATCCGCCACGTTCACACTCCTTCCACCCCACCCCCCTCCCTGTGTTTTCTTTCCCTTTGCAGGTATGGAAGCTTCCTGGCGCCAGGTGGCCGGCGGCCGAGGCCGAGCTCGAGGGCGGGCCACGGCGGCCCCCTCGTCCGGGAATGGAGTCCGTCTCCGTGGCGCCGGGGGAGGTCGAGAGAAGGAGCCGGCGGGCGCCGCTCGCCCCGGCCTCAGCGCCGGAGGGTCGCTGGCCGCTGCGGCTGCGGGTGGCCCGGCCCGGAACCGCCCCGCGGGGTCCGAGGCGCCGCAGACTTCCGTCGCCAGTGGTGAGCTTGGCTCCTGCCCGCCGCCGAGGGTCCCGTCCGGACTTCTCTGCCCTTGCCTTCGCTCATTCCCGCCTTTTCGCCTCCGCGAGGAGTTTATTTTGGCCCCCCCCACTTCACAAACCGTCCAGGCAGATTACCAACACCCACTTTTCCTCTTAGTTTGCACGGATTATTTGTTAGGTCTCTGTCCTGTGAGCGTTTTTCCCACTTTTTGTTTGCCCACCTGGATCAATAAGTTGCAAATTGTGCACCGGGATCTGTGTTGGGTAGGTTAACACAACGCTGTACATGGGAATTGTTTACAAAGAAAACAACTCATAGTTGTGGTTAACAAGTTTATTTATTTATTTTAATTATTATTAAATAACACCTTATGGCAACACCGTTGTTGGTGGTAGCAATTGGCTGGATTGAGTTTGAAAAAAATCCTATTTCGATTGGGCATCGGCATTCCGTTTCATGCTCCTTCCCATCAGCACCCCCTCCTGTTGCCGCCTTGTAAGCTTTGGGCTGTGGCACCTTCCCGTCTATGGATCCTAGTCATTAATTTTATGTCCTCTCACGGATGTATCCGGGGCTGCATCCATAAGATGCGACAATACCCACTCATCCCGAGTTTTAGCTGAGGCTGCCTGCGCTTACACACCTATTCTCAATTACCCATACAAATGGAGTGTTGCCCCGGGGGATGATGTCTGAATTCATTTTATTTTGTGCTTGGATTTACACACACACACACACACACACACACACGAATATATATTTTTGGAAGGGAGCGCCATTGAGCTTTGGGCTGTTTCTGTTTTTTCCTGGTTGGTGGTATCCTCTTAGCTTGCAGTCCCTGAGTGGTGGTGGTGGTGGTGTTAAGGGGTACAATTTGAAGACCTCTGAACTGTTTTGGTAAACTTTCTTGAATACTGTGACTAGAAGGAAATCAAACTTTCTTTCCTGGAAATTGAGATTTGACAGTCACTGTACCAGATACTAGATAGGCAGGAAGTGCCCAGTCTACAGCTAGCTGGGTTTCATTCCCAAGACTGCTGTAAAGTTGGTGCTGATGTAAATTGAAGACCTCATTTCACATTAATATATAGCTGATGCTACTTAAATGGTATGAAATGCTGAGTAAGGGCTTCACGCGCTATGCCTGGTCTAGAGTGGAATCAGGACCAGTACAGCAGCAATGACGTCAGTGTCTTAATGGCTTTCTGTGGACAAACAGTTCAGTTCTGTGCCATTAGAATTGAACACTGCCCAATACTCTATCCATTGCAACTTCTAATAGGAATGCACGTCATTGGAATGCCAAACCAAAGCCTGCTATCTGGCAGTGTTTGAAACAGTAACTCGTAAAATTGAACATCAGGGAATGAACATATGAGAATGAGAGCATCAGCAAAGTTCATCCTGCAGAATTGTGTGTAGTACATGGGTGCACTCTTGTACCCCCAAATGGAGAGTGGTAAAGGGCAATTCTTCATCTTACTGCCATCTCAGTTCTGACTCAGAGACCTCACAGGGCAGAGTAGACCTTCCCCTGTGAGTTTCTAAGGCTGTAAATCTTTACGGAGTAGAAACCTCATCTTTCTCATAAGGAATGTTGATTTTAAACTACTGTCCATTCTGTTAGTAGCCCAATGCGTAATCCACTAAACCAACAGTCCTCAGCCTGTGGGTTGCGATCCCTTTGGGGGTTGAACAACCCTTTCACAGGGTTGCCCCATTCATTACAGTAGCAAAATTACAGTGATGAAGTAGCAACGAAAATAAAATGGGGGGGGGGGGCGCACCACAACATGAGGAACTATATTAAAGGGTCGCGGCATTAGGAAGGTTGAGAACCACTGCACTAAACCATTAGGGCTCATAACTTGCCATAATTTGAATGCCTGCAGTCTGCCTGTATATAGGAAGGTTTGTATGTCAATGTGTATGTAACTTTCCTGGAGCTATGTTTCTCCATGGCTGTGGAATAACTTCCTACTCATAGTTACCCTATGGTACAGAGTTAAAACTACACCTTAGCTTCAAGCCATCAGTTCTTGACTGACTGGTACATCTTTCTCGCAAAGAGCCCAGTGAGCTCCGAGCACTGGCCTGGTTAGCAGCTGAGCTCTTTGCCCACTGCACTGTCAGGACTCCTTGAGCCGATCGTAGGTAGATTATTTATCAGGTTATTAACATTTTCCTTAAATCCACCCAAATCAGTGCCCCATCCTTTTTAATGTATCCAAAGTGCATTTCCCTTAGGTTAATGACAATTAACCTGTTGCAGATTGATTTTTTGATCTTTTTTTTTTCCTCTTCTAGTACCCCAAGATTCATAGGTGTGGGTAGTATATAATATACCTGTATTGAAAAACAAGAAAATCAAACTCACTGCCATTGAGCCAATTAAAACTCATAATCTTATAGGACAGAGCAGAACTGCCTCTGTGGGTTTCTGAGACTGGACATCTTTACAGGAGCAGAAAGCGTCTGTCTCCCATGGGGCAGCTGGTGGTTTTGAACTGCTGGATTTGTGGTGAGAAGCCCAACTTAAAACCCACTGTATCACTGGTTTTATTTGTAATACTGGTTAACCTAACCAAACTGACTGCAGCAAGCAGAGGAGGACTTTTCAGGAGGGCAATGAAAGACAAAGCATCATTAAGAATGCATGTTCCACCAAAGGGGACTTTGATCTTGCTAGTGGCTCATCAGTTCAAAATGAAGTGACTTTTAAATTAGTACAGTTTTAGAATTAATACGTTTGAGATGTAAAATTAGCAAATTTAAAGTCCTCTCAGTTATGAGCAATTATTAATTCGGACCAGCAGGCTGTGGTTGCTTGCTCAAGCCAGGTCACTGCCTGCAGGAATTTATTAACAGTACTAGACGAAGATACCCATGTTCTATGCTCTCAAGATATTTAAAGCCTCCCAGAGAATATATGCTATGAAACAATCTAATGATCTCTTGCCTTATTATTTAACCAAGTAACAGACAGTGCTATTTAACCACGTAACAAACAGTACTAAAGAAAGGAGATGAAGACTGACTCTAAAATGTGTTAAACATTTATTTTTGGAATGAAGTTATTGTAAGAAGCTGGTTATTATTGGTAACATTAAAAGTGTATTAGTGTTAGCGTGCTTATTTTCTGTGACCACATTTCATCGAAGGCACAAAATCTTGGAGCTTAAGCTATGAATTATAAACAATGGGTATACAATAAGTACCTTTTTTGCTCACTCTGGGCTGGGTGGGGCTAGAGTACAGAGGACAGGGTACTTTGAATAAGCACAGAAGCACCCCCTCTGATGATGATGTTATAATCTCAGTGGAGATGATATCTCCACTTATGCTTCTTACCTTTTAAAAACAACCTACTTTAAAATAAAATACAAACATCCTATTTTAATTTATATTAATGTCCTCATTTTGAAATTGAATCCTAGGAAGGTTGTTACCCATAATTAAAATAAAAATCAGTGCGTCCAGTACAATATGCCGCATTTATAAGGGTGTTACCAAAAGTGAACATTTTTGTTGTGTTCTGCGTAGTGTCAACAAGTATAGAAAATACTTTTTTCTCATGAATTTTAGTGAAATCTAACATTCTGAAAGTAACTTTTAGGTATGCTTAGAAATGATAAATATTAGTATATCATGTCTTTTTGAGAGATTGTTTTACAGAAACTAAAACCATTTTTCTCTCTCTTTTAAACAGAGCTGATGTCTCAGCGGAAATTTGAGGAAATCAAAAAGGCTAATCAAGCAGCAGCCAAGAAGCTTGTTGAACACTTCAGCTCCTCTGAAGATGAGGGAGATGAGGACTTTGAAGGAAAACGGGGGGAAATAGTCGCTAATACATTTGTAACATACACTACTCAGACAGGTACTCATCGTCTACATTTTCTTATTCTTGGCAGCAGTCAAATGTATTTCTGACATGTCTCGACCATGCCTTTTTCTCAACGAAATAGTTTTACATTGGAAGAGTGAGTATTTTATTGGGTATGTGTACATAGTTTATTTGAGTTATATGTTTTTTAATGTTAATGTTTCTGTAATGGAAATCAGATGCAAACTTGGCTTTTTCACAACCCTAGGAGTTGTCCACGTGAGTGCCCCCTCTAGAGTGCTGTGAGGTGCACGGCAAAGCTCCCCAAGAGATGAGTCCATGGAGTAGCTCCTGCTTGGGATCAGTTGGATTTGTGGACTTTGTATGCCCTTTCAGGCTTCCTTCACCTCTCTCACTCAGTGTGTGCTGAGGTCACTTTCATTTGTTGACATTTCTTTCATATGTATAATTTTGATTTTCATATTGATGTAAATTTCCTTAGGCTGACGTGTACAGTCCTGGTCTTTTATAGAACAGTTGGTGGTGAAGTTGGGTATTTAAAAATGATCACTTTGGTACCCATTTTAGTTTTTAATAATGTCCTTATTTTGAGATTGTTTCCTGGGTTCCCCTCCCCCCATACTTTTATCATACCTTAGTTAAAATAAAAATCACTGTTTAAAATACAGTATGCTACATTTAGCATACTGCAATTGACCACCTAAGAAAAATGAATATGCTCTGCCTCACAATCTCAGTGCTGCTCCTCTGTTCTGTCTTGCGGTCTCTTTGTCTGGGCCTGTGTTCTTGACTTGGCTCCTTTGATTTATCCCATCAGTTTCTGTTGCCCGCTGGTCTTGTCCTCCTCCACTTAAGACCAAACCGCAAACCAAATTCAGGTCATCGATTCAGTGTGAACTCACAGTGGCCCTATTGGACAGGATAGAACTGTCCTTGTGAGTTTCGTAGGCTGTAACTGTTTATGGGAATAGAACACCCAGTCTTTCTTAGAGCAGGCTAGTGGTTTTGAACTGCTAATCTTGCAGTGGTTAGCCCATTTCTTACCTCTTCACCACCACAGTGCCTAGCCATTGGGCATAGAGGCTAGGATTTACAATAGGATCACAGCAGGGTTTATGGCATATTAATTGTGGCACCAGAAGATGGTGGGATAAATCAAAGGATCCAGGTTGAGACCAGAGGCCAAAGCAAGGAGACCACGAGACAGAAGCAGCTCAATGTTTCTTAGTAATTTTTTTTAGAATTATAAGGCAAGTGATGTCAGGATTCAGAACTGTTAATACCTCAGAATCAAATGCACAAGAGTTTGAGCATGAGCTGGAATAAAGGCAATTCAGGAGCCTAAGAGTTAGTCAAGAATTCAGACTGTGAACTTCATGAAGTTCCCTCTTCCCCATCCAGCTATCCCCTTCTCCAGACCTTAGTGATGAATTAATTTCCTGAATATACAGATGACAGCATGAAGATAGGCACACACTGTTGAGTAGTTTGCTAAGACTTGTCCTTTACCTGCTGAGAGATTAACCTGGGTGCCTTTTGAGTTCTTCCCTCTCACAGCAATCCCATGGGTCAGAACTGTGCTCTTTCAAAAGTTGATCTCCAGGACTTTTTGAGGTACCTCTGAATTCAAATTGAATTCCCAACCTTTGGATTAGCAGCTGCCTGTGTTAACCTGCTGGCTTAGAGGCAACATCTAGTTAATGTAGAAAGATAGCACTTTTTCCCCCTCCATTATTTAGTAGTACTAATGTTTTCTCAGTTACCCACCCAAGCTAGAGAGCTGTAGTACGGATGGCAGTTTCGTGGCACGAATATTGCTATTCCCCACCATTCCACCTTAGACCATGTCAGGCATCAAAGTCAAAACCAGACTCACTGCCATTAAGTCACTGCTGACTCATAATGACTCTGTAGGACAGGGTAGAATTGCCACCATGTGTTTCCCAGACTATACCTCTTTTGGGGACTAGAAAGCCCCATCTTTCTATCACACAGGGCTGGTGATTTCGAACTGCTGACATCGAAGTTATCAGCCCAAAACCTAACCACAACACCACCAGTGCTCCTATATCTCATCAAACACACCACCTTTTCCTTCTGAATACTGACATAATGTAATTGTCATAAGTCCTGTTGAGTTTTATTTGCAAGCTAAATATTTGCAAACTACCACTTCCCTTCTCCAGTGCCCCCCAATACTGTTAAGTGCCTTAATTCAGACCATATTATAACTGAGATAGATAACTATTAATTATTACCATGTTACAGATGAGAGAGAACACTGAGCTAAACTATGCAACTTGCTTTAAGGTTAATTTTTACCTACTCTACTTCTTAATGGTACTTCCTGCTTCCAGGTTTGGCATACTCATTTTACATCGGATGCTAGAGTGATCTTTTTAAAATTCATCACTTCATCACCACCTGCTCTGAAAGGTCCTGGCTAGAGTGGGAGAAAAATGCAGAATTCAAAATGATAAAAAGAATAGGCTGACTGCTTGGAGAGAGACTAGTGGGAGTAGGCCCCCAGGCCTATGGCCTTTACCCTCTAGGTCCATCTGAACTCACCCTTGTGGCAGAACAATTGACCTCTGAAGAGCCAAAGGGCAGCCTTTACTCCAGGGTAGTTACAAGGGTTAGGAAGGAGGAAACGGAACAGGGAACAAGGGAAGTGGAATAAGTGATGGGAGATTTAGGGATTGCAGTGGATAAAGCGACATATATTTTGTTGATTATGTGAATTGTTGATTATGAGATTGATCTGCCCTGGAAACCTACACCTAGTTCACAAGAGAAAAATTTTAAAAATGAATAAATAGAATGCATGACTTCAAATACCATGCTATCATCCACTATAACCTTCTGAGCAGTATATTTTTTTCCTGCAGACAGCTTTCAAAGGTTTCTTAAGCAAATTTTGTACATCTGAGTCAGACTGAGCCTTGTTAAAATTTTTATTCCACTTGGTCCTTAAATTCTATTTTACCTGATTTAGCTCATGAATTAAATGCAAATTTTATATAATTCTTAAAGCCAGCTGTGTTGAGTAGCAAATGAGTACGCAGTAGGCTTATTAAGTCTGGTCTTTTTTTTTTTTTTAATCATTTTACTAGGGGCTCATACAACTCTTATCACAATCCAGACATACATCAATTGTGTAAAGCGCATTTGTACGTTCATTGCCCTTATCATTCTCAAAACATTTCCTCTCTACTTAAGCCCTAAGTCTGTTCTTAAGGATATTTATACAATGTCCATGTTTATTTAAAGAAAAATAGTTGTCTAATAATTTTATAAGACCTTATTAGTTTTGGGAGTACAGATGTGTTGTTATAGTAGTTGAATTACACGTGTGTTTCTATAATGGTAGGGTCATTTTTTGGTAAGTTCTGGTTCTACCTAGGTGATTTAGAAAGTATAAAAACTGTCAAATCAATGTGTCCTATCTGTTTAATTTTTCTTTTTGACAGTTTGAGCCAGCTTATTGCCTTAGTAAGTTCTGTACTGAAGGTCGTTTATACTTCTCATCTGCATTTCTTGGAGATCAGACAGTCTTTATTGTGTCCTCTTTGTGGTACTGAAGGCAGTAGGCTCATTTCCTTTATACTAAATTGACTCAGACGGTTGCCCTTTTTGAAGTCATGCAAACTTTTGGATAGTTGGTATGTTTCATTTTGTTATTTGTTATTTGTTATTTATTTGTTATTTCTTGAGTCTTTTTATAGTAACCACTTTTTATAGTAACCACTGCCATCAAGACAGCAGAACTGCTTGTCAAGGGCTCAAAGGCTGTAAATCTTGATGGCAACAGACTACCTCATCTGTCTCCTGTGGCATGGCTGGCGGATTTGAACTGCCATCCTTGTGGTTAGCAGCCCAGTGTGTAACCAGTACACCACCACAGCTCCATTCAGCATAGTAGAGTGATTAAGGAGCGTCACATTTTGCTTTTTGTTATGATTTCCCTTGTTACTGTACATCTTGCTCCTCTTAACTAGGAAAGAGCATGCCATTTGCTCAGGGCTCTGAGGGCAATAAAAGGAAGTGTAGTGTGAGGGAAGGCTGAGGTACTTGGTTACTTAATCCTGTGCCTCAACTTTTTCAGCTGTAAAATGAGGACAGTAATAGTACATTTAATTCCTATGAAATACTGATAGTAACAGGTCATTGAGCCAATTCAATTTGTTGGGACTCTATATAATCCTTAGCAAATAGGTGCTCTCAAGAAAATAAGGTTAGCAATTAAATTTAGCAATTAAAAAAAAAGTCCTGTCGGTTACTTTTTTAATACAGAAATAACGTAATTTTATTAAACAAGATTAACATACTATAATAACCTGAGTCTCAGTTAAGTTTATCATACAATAAGGTTTTATGAAGAATGTGTTATGTGACACATTCATATCAATACACACATATTTTAAATGACTACTTAGCTTGACTTTCAGTTTTTTTAAGCATTGCTTGTTATACTTTCCCTTGTTACTTCACAAACATCTTGCTGTTGTTAGCTGAGACTGTGCCTTTCTGCTATTTGTTAAGGACTGTAACAGCAATCAAAACAAGTACTCTGAGGTAGGGCCACTGTATTGTTTTTATTTTATTGCATGAACTTTGCAGGTGATAGGCTACTTTTTAAAAACATCTTTGTTTTACAACTACGTATTTTATGCAATTGATAATGCTTTCATAGTGAATTGAGTTCGTGTTATTTTCAGATGTTTCCTAACATGAGATTTTCCTTTTCAAATTTGAAGATGGAGATATCCGTGAATTAGAACGAACAAAACAGTATGTAAATGATGCCTTTCAAACCGGGGCTACTACATGCTTGATTTGTATTGCTTCAGTGAAGAGACACGACGCAGTAAGTTTTCTCTGTGTCTGTAGTAATGTGTCTCTTGTTTTGCATTCACAGCACTAAACCATCTTTTTTTAAAAATTATTTCTTTTTAATCATTTTATTAGGGGCTCATACAACTCTTATCACAATCCATACATACATCAATTGTGTAAAGCACACTTACACATCTGTTGCCCTCATCATTCTCAAAACATTTGTCTACTTGGGCTCTTGGAATCAGCTCCTCATTTTTTCCATTTTTCCCCCCTCCTCGCTTCCCCCTCCCTAATGAATACTTGATAATTTATAAATTATTATTTTATCATATCTTACACTGCCTGATGTTTCCCTTCACCCACTTTTCTGTTGTCCACCCCAGGAAGGGGGTTAATATGTATCCTTGTCATCGGTTCCCCTTTCTATCCCGACCTTCCCTCCTCCCTCCCGGTATCACCACTCTCACCACTAGTCCTGAGGGCTTCATCTGTCCTGGATTCCCTGTGTTTCCAATTCCTATCTGCACCGCAGTACATCCTCTGGTCTAACCAGGTTTATAAGGTAGCATTGGGATCATGATAGTGGTGGTGGTGTGGGGGGGAGGAAGCATTTAAGAACTAGAGGAAAGTTGGGTGTTTCATCGATGCTACACTGCACCCTGAGTGACTCATCTCCTCCCTACTATCCTTCTGCAAGGGATGTCCAGTTGTCTACAGATGGGCATTGGGTCCCCATCCCGTACTCCCCCTCATTCACGATGATATGATTTCTTGTTCTTTGGTGCTTGATACCTGGTTCCTTTGACCCCTTGTGATCACACAGGTTGGTGTGCTTCTTCCATGTGGGCTTTGTTGCTTCTGGGCTAGATGGCCGCTTGTTTACCTTCAAGCCTTTAAGACCCCAAACGCTCAATAGCTGGGCACCATATGCCTTCTTCACCACACTTACTTATACACCCATTTGTCTTCAGCGTTTATATGGGGAAGGTGAGCACACAATGATGTTTTTTGTTCTTTGGTGTCTGCTACCTGATCCCTTCAACACCTCATGATCACACAGGCTGGTGTGCTTCTTCCCTGTGGGCTTTGTTGCTTCTGAGCTAAATGGCTGCTTATTTACCTTCAAGCCTTTAAGGCCCCCGACGCTATCTCTCTCGATAGCTGGGCACCATCAGCTTTCTTCACATTTGCTTATGCACACATTTGTCTTCAGCGATGGTGTTGGGAAGGTGGGTATCATGACTGTTTAGTTGAGCAAAATGTTCTTGTATTGAGGGAGTACGTCAGTTGAGGCCCAATGTCCATCTGCTACCCTACAACTAAACCTATAAATATATGCACGTGGATCTATTTCCCCCATAATAATAAATATATTTACATATGTACATGCCAATATTTAGGCCTCTATGTATGCCCTTTGCCTCCTATTTTCTCTATTTCCTTTTGATTTCCTCTTGTCCTACTACCATGCTCAGCCTTCAGTTGGGTTTCAGTAATTCCTCTCGGTTACATTTCCCTTGATCAATCCCTACCAGTCCTCCCACCCCCTCCTTGCCACTGGTTTTGAATCACTCATTGTTCTCTTGTCCCTGAGTTGGTTATCACCTCTTCCCTTCCCCCACCTCCCACTCTCCCATGTCCTCCGGAACCATTGGTCCCGTTGTTTTCTTCACATTGTTTATCCAGCCTATTTGAGAATTTGATGTATGGCTTCCAATTGTAAATAGATACTTTTTCTCAGTTACCCATCCAGTATTTTTAATACTATTAATGAAGTGGAACAGGTATCCATTTTAAATTGTGTATGGTGATAGAGTAGTTTTTTTTAATGTCATCAATATTTAAGAGAGTTCTTCAAAAACTGAGACATTTCACTGCGTTTTCACAGCTATACTTAGGAGATAATGTGGGTTTGGTTTCAGACACCACACCGAGTGAGTATTGCAGTAAAGTGGTTGAGTTACCCAGTGCACGTAGAAGTTATATATGCACTAAACTGTAGTCTCGGCCACTCTGGGTGAGAGATGAAACTGTTCCTCAGAAACCCTATGTATGGCTGTTATGAGTTACAAGTGACTGTTCTTTTGCAGTGGAATTTCCCCCCACACCTGTTTTTGGGAGTCTATTAACTGCAATAATATTATGAAAAAGTATGATGTATTGTCCGAACTACCAAAGTATGACACGGAAAACACATTTTCTATTGGAAATGTGCTGATAGACTTGCCAAAGGCAGGGCTGCCACAGACCTTCAACTTATAAAAAATGCAGAGTCTGGAAGCCCAGTAAAATAAGCTATGCCTGTAGTCATTACTTTCAATAACCAAAAAACCCACCCTCACTGCCATCAAGTTAATGCTGGCTCATAGAGAAACTGCGGTGGGCTTCTCAGATTGTACCTGCTTTATGGGAGTAGAAATCTCAGTCTTTCTTCTTTGGAGCTACTGTTGATTTCAAATTGTTGACCGTGCAGATCACAGCGTGTAACTCATTTGGCTGGTAAAAAGACAAGTAAGGTTCCTGCCATCAAGGAAGTCGAGGCTGGCAGGGTATGGTTAATTGAGTTCCTACTGTGTTAAGGCACTGTGGGGAAGTAGCTGAGAGAGATAGTCAACCATAACTCACATCCTCTGACAGTCTGTGGTTGAAGGCTCTCCCTTCTGGGAGCCCAAACTGAGGCATTGACTTTGTTTTTTAATACAGTTTCTCAAACTCAAACTCACTGCCATCAAGTCGATCTAGCTAAGGCAGCGTACTGCAAACCAAAACCTATGTAAGGTTTCTGAGGTTGTAAATCTTGATGGGAGCATACAGCCTCATCATTCTACCCTGGAGGAGCTGGTGGGTTTGAACTGAGGACCTTGTTAGTTAGCTACCCAATGTTTGTCTAGCTGTATGTCTGTGATTTTATCAAACAATTGTAAATGTTAATAAAATAAAGAGAACTGCTATATGAAATATGTATATATTTTCAAGTGTTTAGTTTATATAAGTTTTAGAATTTAGTACTGTAAGTGCTAGACTAATAAGGTCTTTTAACAAAGGGCTGTATAGAGATAAACCCAGTTATGTTTAAGAATTTCATTAAAATGTTATTTATAACCAGATAACCAATAAGAACGTGGTTAAATAAATTACGACACATAAATCTGTGTTCTATATTATATAGTTTTAAAAATCATGTTAATACAAACAGGGTAAATAACTTCAAAAGAAAGACCAGTTACACATCAATCAATAGAATATGAGTTTTAAAATTATGAAATACATAAAAAAATTTTTTTCTGATGGCTGTGCTGAATGTTTCAAAAAACTAAACTCATTCTCATGGAGTAGATGTCAACTCACAGCAACTGCCCCTTGAGTTTCTGGAAGTAGAAAGTCCTGGTTCTCTCCTGAGTACTGACCAGCTAATGGTTATGAACTGCTGACCTTGCAGATTGCAGTCCACCTAGGAAACAATGTTTATTTGTAGTTTAATGCATCTGGGTTATTCGTTCATTTTCAATAAAGTATTGTGTACATTTAAGCCCATTTTTATAGGCAGCTTTTCATCTGTTACTGGAAGTATTTTTCTGTAATCCTTAGGCAACTCTTGAAAATAAAGTGATGTTCATTACAAGTAAAATGATTTTAAAGAAAAATTGTTATGTCCATGTTAATTTCTCCCACCTTTGTCTTAGGTCTGGAGCTGTTCAGGATGTTTCTGCATATTTCACATGCCTTGTATCCAGAAGTGGGCCAAGGACAGCCAGTTTCTTTTATCTTCTTTGACTGATGATGATTTTGGAAAGAGAGATTATCCGTGGCCATGGTAATATTTTCTGATCTAGTTGGAGTACTAAGTTGTAGAATATACAAAAACTGTAGAGCATAGTTGTTTCATTGGCAATTTTAATGTCCATGTTTGTCCCTTATTTAGTTTTGATGTGATGGTATGTGGTTTGTTTCCATTCCCTGCCTCTCCACCGCCACCCTCAAGCCACACACATACATACACACACTTGTATGAGTAAATCAGATTTTATTTTTTTCCCCAGCAAAACAGCTTCATAATTAGAACTTTTATTTCTTTTCTATCAGACTGAGAGTCCTCTCTGATTCTGTTAATTCTCTGCAATTTCTGTTGTGAAGAGTATCAAATTTTTCTGCATTTATTTGATTAATTTGGATAGGGGTAGATTTGTCCCAAGGGATAGATTTACTGTCATGGTAACAGAGCTCTAAGTTTCAGGGGCCCTGTATTGTTACATTACAATTTGCTTTTGTACTTCTCTTCATATTAGTATTTTTTATTGCTTTTCTTAATGAAGGCTCACAGGCTGTATTACAATTCATGGTTTACAAAACCTGGATCTATGTTAGATCTCTTAGTACTGTCAACACCAGTACTCCTGTAAAATTGTATGGGTTAGCTTTACAGACACTTTTCACCTGTGAGTTATTGGCAATGCACTAGTTAAGTGCTGGACAGCTAACCAAAAAGTTGGTGGTTTGAATGCTCAGCCATTCCATGGTAGAAAGATGTAGCAACCTGCCTCTGTAAAGATTTAACCTGCTGTCATCGAATGGATTCTGACTCATAGTGCCTTTCTATATAGGATTTCAGCATCTATAAATCTTTATGGGAGCAGGCAGCCCCATCTTTTCTTTGCAGAACAGCTGATGGGCCTGAACCACTGACCTTTTGGTTAGCGTAAACCACAGCTGTACCAGGGCTTCTGTGTTCCTTAAACTCTTACCATCTAACAAACCCTATGGGACAGAAGTACTCTGTCCTAGAGTCATTATGAGCTGGAATTTGACTCGACAGCAATGGCTTTGATGAGCTACTTTATAAAAACTGTTCAACAGTCTACTAGAGAGTTCATTGCCATGTGACCTATGGGAATATTGAGCGCTAACGCTTTGTGATGGGTTCCGAGACCTTAATTCATAAATGGCAGATCCCTAATTTGAAGACTTAAGATTTCTGACTCTTTAGTGCTATTTCTATTCAATCTGGTTTTACCTGCTTTTAGATATATTAATGTTTTCTCCATGTTTCTTGGAGACAGCTTAAAATGTCAAATTTTCATTTGTTTTTATGTCTGTGTATCTAATGGGGGTATTGTAGGGTTTAATAGTTACCAAATTAAATCAGATATTCCAGCCTGTTAGTTTTAGAGACTTAAACCTTTGGTGTATTTTTCTCACTTTTGCTCTTTTCACTTCTGTTTTAAGTAGGCATTTTGCCATAGGTGGGTAGGAAGTAGTAGTTAAGAGAGGAATGAACAGATAGTCTTCTCTTAAAGCTAAAGGAACACAATATTTATTCAACTACACATCCTTTGCATTCCATATTCCACATTTTTAAGAAAGGGAGTAAATGATTGAGGTTGAGGTTGATAAAAATGTTGATTTAAATCAGTTGTTCGGTAGAAATCAAAAATTATAAACATGTTTCTACCTGGGATATTGCTTATGAGCAAGTGAGCATGATTACATTCATTATTGTCTTGCCATCATTATAAATAAAACTCCTGGATTTGTACATTTGCCTTTACCTCACATACTCTTAAACAATTCAGCATCAGCTCCAAGAGGCAATTCTAAGACATTACAAGTTGCCTTTTGAGCATCATATCTAAGCTTATTCAAAATATGACCTCCATACCCCACTAGATTAAAGGGAACAGAAGAAATTTTTCATTTAGTAAGGGAAAAATTCATTCTTTCAACATAAATGGTAATTATTGATCGATTTCTTCTCAGTTGCGTTCACCAGCAGGATTTCAAGTGCTCCCTTGTGACTAATGGCTACTGTGCTGGACAGTGTAGGTGTAGAGCAGTTCCATCATCTCAGGAAAATTATATTGGACAGAGCTGTTCTTGACAGTGGAAATGAATTCTAGTGAGATCTTGCTTCTTCACCTGTAGAAATATGGAGCAGAGTGTGTCTTAACATATAATGAATTGAACTCAAGTATATTTATATTCTTACTTTTTATGTTGATTTTAAAGATGAAATAAACTTCAGTATTTCATTCTTATTTGTAGTCCAAAATGTAGGTTTGAATACAAACGATCTGAGACACCCAGCAGGTACTATTGCTATTGTGGAAAAGTAGAAGATCCGCCTTCAGACCCATGGCTGGTGCCTCATTCATGTGGCCAAGTATGTGAGAGAGAATTTAAACCTCCTTGTGGCCATAAATGTTTACTCCTCTGTCACCCAGGTGAGCTATCTGTTACATCTTCAGTTGGGTTCATGTCTCCTTAGATGGAGCCCCCACATATTGTGAAAGTGGAATTCAGAACTTAAATTCACCTTCAGAAAATATGAAAATAGATGGCCTTCTAAACCATCAGTAAAGAAAACTTTAGAAATTACTGATAGGTGTAAGTATTGAAAACTTTAACTTTCAACTCCTCATTTTCCTCTCTCTTCATTGGTCTTAGGCCCCTGTCCTCCTTGTCCGAAGATGGTCACAACGACTTGTTACTGTAAGAAAGCAAAGCCCATCCCTCGTAGGTGCAGTGCCAAGCAGTGGTCCTGTCATTCACAATGTGGGCGCAAGTTGCTTTGTGGACAACATAAGTGTGAAAGCCCTTGTCATTCAGGTAAAACAGTTATACCTGTTCAAACTTTGACACTAAGGAAACGTCAAAACCATCTCTGTTGCTTTTATAAAGTTTTGGTACTAATTTATCATTCTGGCTTTAGGAAATTGTCCACCTTGTCCAAGAGTTAGTAGACAGAAGTGTGTCTGTGGCAAACAAGTTGCTGAAAGAAGTTGTGCAAGCCCACTGTGGCACTGTGATCAAGTATGTATAGATGCACATTTGGAGGGGCATGTGTGAACGGTTAGGGAAAGCATACCCACTTCCATGAAGTCCATTCTGACTCATAGGGACCTTACGTAGGACTTTTGAGATGGTAAATCTCTTTGGGAGTACACAGCCTTATCTTTCTCCTGTAGAACTGCTGGTGGCTTAATTACTCTGTGTATTGTTAACTGTCTCTCCTTCCTTCTCTTTCCACTCTTTTAAAACAATACCCTTACCTCCTTCTTGAGTTAATGTAATTGAAGAATTATTTGATTGATTTTTATAGGCTGCTTATTATAGAAGTCTCCTGATTTTAGGAAAGTTATAATGGATGATCTTATGAAGCTGTATGATCTTCTTCCCTTATGTTAAAAAAATACTCTAGTGCATAGGGAAAAATACTTCTAATATGTAAGATATGAGAAGGGGGTACCCCCCAAAAACTGGATTTTTTTTTTAAAGCCATGTATTTAAATTTTTTTACAAAACAACCTTATCACCTTCAAAGTACTCTCCATTACACTTAATACATTTGTTGAATCTGCGATTCCATTCTTGGAAACATTTTTCAAACTCATCTGCTTGGATGGCTGACAACACTTCCCTTGTTTTTTTCTTTTCCTCTTATACATCATCAAATTGCTGTCCTTTCATGTCCCTCTTCATTCGCGGAAACAGCAGAAACAAAAAGAAGCGAGGTCAGGTGTGTGGGACAAGAGAGGCATGCTGTTTTTTGCCAAAAACTGGTGCACTGAGGTGTCTTTGTGAGCTGGTGCATTGTTGAGGTAGCAAAACCAGTCCCCTGTCTGCTACACATTAGGCCTTTTATTGTCACACACTGTTACACAATCTTTTCAGAACTTCTAAATAGAAAGCTCGATTAACAGTCTGACCTGGTGGAAGAACTCCAAATGGACTAGCAGTCGACATTTTTGCCCTTCAGGAAGTTGACAGATTTTCCAGAACAAGGTTTGTCATCAATAGACATTTTACCATTTTTGAAATGAAAAAAACCACTCCTTCACTTGAATTTTTCCCATAGCACCATCTTTGTAAGCTGTGTTCAATGTCACAACAGTTCCTGCAACATTTTTCTTGAGCAGGAAACAAAATTTCACAACTGCACACTGTTCTCTTAAATTGGCCATCACAAAAAATGAGGTTCAAGAAAACTGCTTTCATGAAAACATCACTGTGACCAGAGAGAACCTTCCCAGGAGACACCCCTGGGGTGCACCAATAGCGAGATGCTAGAGCAGTGGTTCTCACCCTTCTTAATGCCGCAGCCCTTTAGTACAGTTCCTTAAGTTGTGGTGACCCCAGCCATAAAATTATTTTCGTTGCTGTTTCATCACTGTCATTTTGTTACTGTGATGAATTGGGCAACCCCTGTGAAAGGGTTGTTCGACCTCTCCAAAGGGGTCGCGACTCATGAGTTGAGAACCACTGTGCTAAATGCTTGGCTAGTGGGAAAATTGCATACTATGAAGGCTCATCCCAGCGGAACTTTTTTCCAGTTTTTTTTTGGGGTACCCCCTCATATATACAAAATGTGAAACTTTGATAAGTTTTGGGTTTTGTTCATGGTTGAAAATGGCTTATGCCTTGTGAAGTCCTGGTCAATTTTTAAAAATCCTTCACTAGTGCTTACTGCATTTTATTTTAGGTGTGTGGAAAAACACTGCCGTGTGGTAATCATACATGTGAGCAGGTTTGCCATGTTGGTGCTTGTGGAGAATGCCCGCGCTCTGGGAAAAGGTTGTGTCCATGTCAGAAATCAAGTAAGACTTAATAATACTATAGTGGGATATGACTACTTAGAATGGTGGTGTGGTGGGCTATACACTGATGTCACCAGTGTCAGTGGCTCAAACCAACCAGCTGCTCTAAGAGAGAATGATGTAGCTTCTACTCTCACAGATTTACAGCTCAGAAACCCACCGGAGCAGTTCTACCCTGTGCAATATGTCGCTATGAGTCTGAATGACTACTTCACAGGGAATTTGAGTTTGAGTGGGATATGACTAGATTAAAAAGAAAACACAGTAAAGCCCCACATATTTTCTCAGTTAATTTAGATGTCTCTGGACATTTATATTAATTAAGTGTTCCATTTGTGTACATTTTGATGAGAGGACAGTGTAGAAAGAACACTGTTATGAACTCAGATGTTGGAGCCAAGCATCTGGGTTCCAGTCCCACTCCCGAGTTAGGTGGCGCTAGTGATATGTAATACCTTCTTTGTCGGGTGATCAGAATTAAATGATGAAAAGTTTAAATGGTAGACACACATAATGTATAGTTCCTAGTAATTGAAGGAAAACTAATGACCTAAGCTATAGGATTATTATTATTTATTATCATTATATGTAGAGCCCTAGTAGTTAGTGGCTAAGGTGTGGGTGCTAACTAACTGCAAGGTTGGTGGTTCAGATCTACCAACTGCTCCTTGGGGAGAAAAAAATGAGACAGTCTGCTTCCGTGAAGATGCACAGCCTCATGGCCCTGTGGAGCGATTCTGCTCTGACCTGGAGGGTCACTGTGAGTAGGAATTGACTCCATGGTGGTGGGTTTGGGTTGGGCACAGTGATTGTGTGTTTTAGATTAACTTATTTTGGGCTGCTTTGTGATAAAGGAGTAATAGAAGTACAGTTTGAGACTCCATTTATCGCCCTCAACACTAGAAAACATAAGATTATTATGCTAATACGTTTATTTTAAATGTGAGCTTCATACTTTTTTTTTAATCATTTGGGCTTCATACTTTTTTAAATCTAAATTTAAATCTAAATATTTGGCAATGTCCTTGTAGAGATTTTCATGGTCTTACACCTTTCTTTGGTTTAACATTTCTGAAGTTGCTCACAAGGATAGTAACTTGTCATGTCCATTCGATTTAAAAAGCAGGTGTTTTTTTCTTTTATTAGGAGTTAACTTTAGTGAAATTTATCCCAGTAATTCTGTAGATGGAAACAGTCTGAAAGGGTTTCATTCTTTAGAATGTGGCATATTGTATTATACTATTAATATTGTGCGTGTGTCTGCTTTTAGAATTTTCTTTGCCGTGTACAGAAGATGTGCCAACATGTGGAGACAGTTGTGACAAAGTACTTGAGTGTGGAATACACAGATGTTCACAGCGCTGTCATCGAGGTCCTTGTGAAACATGTAGACAAGTTAGTAATTTCTTCCAAAAGTTATTTTTAAAATCTACGTATCATATGAGATCAAATGGAATTGTCCTAAGATGATTTTTTATTTCCTACTTCTATAAATATCTACTTCATAATCTATACACCTACTCCTCACTTATCAACATAGTGTAGTCTTTTAATTAATGTTCCCTATCTTAATTCTTTGGGCTCTAATGTCCATTGCAATGGCTCTAATATCCATTGCAATTAAACGCACAGACAAAATTCATGGTTACAGGGTTTATTAAGGAAACTAACAAGTTGTAATGCCAGTGAGAAATGCTCAGGGTAGTTGTTAGCAGGACATATTACAAGGTTTCAGGTCTGCTAATAAATGCCCAAAGGAGCCTAGCACTCTGCTGTAAGCCTCTACCTGATGGCATTCAGCTCAAACTCCATGGGTCAACAAACCCAACTCTCATAGTTAGTGTTCGGAGGCACCCTCCTCCAGAAACCTCAGCCAGAGGCACTCAGCTCCATTTCCGTGGGCCAGCAAGTCCAATTTCCCCAATTAAGTGCCCAGAGGCACCTCACTCTGCAAGCCAGTCTCTTGCACAAAAGCACTCATCTTAACTTTCTCCATGGGTTGGGAAGTCCATCACTGTGTTCCAGGCTCTGGTTCCTGGTTCTGCTGTTGCTGCTCCTCTGATGGTATGGCTGCTATCTCATCTAGGAGGTTCACAATGCAGGGATCTCAGGTCCAGAGGATACACTTCACTCCTGGCTCTTGCTGGTAATGAGATCCTGCCTCCTGTTTCTCAGAGGGCTCATGTTATCCGCAGCAGTTTGACACCCTAGGGAATCCTATCTTAATTACTTACAGCTGAATCCTATCAGGATCTTCCCCCACATTCTTACATGTTGGGAAAGGTTGCTTGGTAGGAGTTAAAGACTTTGGTTAGAAGGGCCATAGTAAATAATTTACTCCCCCTGCTGTTAGGTTCTAAAGTGAGGTTAAGTGAAAATCAACATGAAACAATGGAGAATTTATTTTTGTTTCAGATCATCCATTTAAAAAAAAAAAGAAATATGACCATAAAAATACAGTTAAAATCTTGAGGAGGCTTTAAAAATTCCATGGGAAAATGGAATTAAAAGATAATGAAATTATTCAAGGAACTTGTGAAGCCCTTAGATAGTGATGTGCTCATCTCTAGAACGGGGAGGAGACAAAGCTGGATAAAGCCATGCCGAGTTTCTGGAAGGCCCATGGCATGACCACTTCACCTTCTTCCCATGCTGGGTCAGAATTTCCCTCATGAAACCACCTGAGACTCAGGCTCCGTGCCCAGTTCTGCTCACCTTGGGATGTCATGGACGTTGCAAGGACATCTCCAAGACAGTCTCTCAGGTGGCTTTCTTTTCTCCCCATTCAGTTTTGTGCTTAAGGGTCTAGACCACATAGAAACTAGAAATCAGAACAGGTACCTATTAGCTTAGGGCTTCCTGCCCATCTGCACTCATGGCTGTGGCCACAGCTGGCTGGATCTGCTCTGCAGACTGGATGCAGCACCCTGCCAACAGAAGGGAGCAGAGGGCATGGGCCAGCTTGGCCTTATACCCTGGAGGCAGCCCAGAGATCCGCCTTGTGGGGAGAGAATACTCCATGCCTGCTGTCTTACTAATGTGTTAAATAGTTGGATAGCTTTTTTAACTGTTGTGAAATTGAAATATCACAATAAGATAGTTGACAAGTGAGGAGTATAAGTTTGAGCTAATATTCATGGTAAAGAAGCAGTCTTCCAGTGCCAAATCTAAAAATTACCTTTTGTCTGCTGTTGCTTGGTAAGTTGAAATTTTCATTTCTGTAGTTACATTTGAGGTTGTTGGTACCTGGAAAAGTTTTAGAACAGTGATGAATTAGACCTAACCAATGAAAGAAAGCAAAGCCTAGACTTAATTTAGATCGTAAACTTATATATGTCATTTGGTCTATGGTCCAGGACTTAACAAACACATTAGCTTATTAGAAAATCTAATCGCTCTATTGAGATAAAAGTATTTCCAAAAAGTATATAAAAGTAGTGAGTCTTACACTATCTTTGGTTGAGTGAGTTCAGGATGTTATTGATGTGCAAATGTTATTCTAGTTAGATTAAGTGGTTTTAAATGCATGATTTTTTCCTTTTTTACTATTTAGAATAGGATAGTAAATGTAGCAGTGGGAATTTCTGAGTTAATTTTAGAGAAGGAAAATACAGAAAATACTAGGATACCAGGGTTCCAAATCAGACTTGCACAGGTTTATTGCAAGAAAAATGTTTTTGAATTTGTATCTGTGATGAATGAATGGTTGTAGACAAGTTCTCTCAGTAATGCATTTGTCTTAGTCTCCTTAAGATGCCTTTAAGATAAGGTCTGATGAAAACACTGGTTTCCAAGTGGGTGGGGTCTGCTGGGCTAGTTCAGTTAAAGGCAGACATTCTCTCAGAAGGCTGTGGGAGACTGTTTTTTGGGATTCCCAAGGGGTAATCTTGAAGGACACAGCACCATCACAAAGCCTTATTATGAAGTGTTAGGAAAATTGAAAACTGTATTGGTGCGTAAAAGGCCAGGAAAGTTGCACCAGGGGATTTTGTTTTCAACGTGACAACGTACCTACTCATCGTTCAGTGACAGCAAGAACTGTGCTGTGATACAAAATCATTTAGAAACCTTTCCCTATCCACCATCTTCCATCTTTGCTGCCCCTTCAGATTTCTTTGTGTACCCAGAACTTGAAACCCCCAAACTAAACCCACTGCCTTTTAGTTAATTCCTATTCACAGCAACCCTATTTAGGGTTTGCAAGATTGTAAATCTTTTGGAGAGCAGGCAACTCATTATTCTCCCATAGAACAACTGGTGGTTTTGAACCACCAACCTTGTGGTTAACAGTCCAACACTTAGCCCATGAGAACTGAATTGAGTGAGTCCCTCGAGGCTGCTCAATGTATTGTTTTTATGTGTGCTGGTGTAAGTTGAAGTGCTCAGAATTCTTTGAGAGGAAGGGTTAGAGAGATGGAAATGGAAAACGGCACCTTCAGAAGTGTGCCCCCTTAAATGAAAGTTGTGTTGAGAAACAATAGCTACACATTTTGGTATTTTTATTTAATAAAGGTTTTTGTGACGTGGAGTAGTCCTTTTTGACTTGCACTCAAATTTTTGAAAACTTGGTGATGGCTTTGGTAAAGTCTTTGATACAAATTAGCTACAGATTGATTTTCATGTCATTTATTTGGTTCGTTAGGAAGTGGAAAAGCATTGTCGCTGTGGAAAGCATACAAAACGAATGCCGTGCCATAAGCCTTACCTGTGTGAAACTAAGTGCGTGAAGATGCGGGACTGTCAGAAGCATCAGTGCAGGAGGAAGGTATGTGTAACAAACTAGGGAAGCTAATTTGATAATTCCCTGAATTCTCCTTTAGTGGCCTATGGAAAGCACTTTGACTTGCTCCTAAAATGTCCATATTCTTTGTTTACCTTAAAAATAATAAATACAGTTTATTAACACTAATAATTTGTATTGGTAGGTTATCATGTTAATGTTTATTTGAACAAATTTTATTAGTAAGGGTCTATTCTTGCCCTTTGCATTGTATCCTCTGCTGGTTTCTTGGAGGACTTTTTAGAATAGTTTTAGAGTGGTCTTTCATTTGGAGATAGAGGCTTGATTTCTCTTGCTCAGATCTTTATGTAGGAGTTGGCTCGGTAGAAAGGAGTCTGCAGATTTGCACTTCTTAATTGGGTTCCCTTCATTATTACGAAACATCCTTCTGTCTCTGATAAGATTCCTGTTTTTTTAAATCCACTGGAATATTACAGTTTTTTCTTTTGGTTATTGTTAACATGGTGTGTATATATTTCCATTCTTTTAACTTCTATCTTTAAAGTAAATTGCTTGTAGATGATATTTAGTTGGGTACTGCTTTTTTTTAATTCAAGTTACAATCTTTGTCTTTTAATTTTGGTCTAAGAGCATGTACATTTAATGTTATTTTTCATGTGTTTGGATTTAAGTCAAACATCTAGCTATTTTCTATTTATTCATCTGACTTTTGTTCTTTTTTCCTACTATCGTATATTTTGATCAAATATTTTTTGATGATTCTATTTCATCTATTTCATCACCTTAGTTTTTTTCTTATTACTGCCTTTTTCAGGGAGGGAGAAGTGGGGTAATTGTTTTTGGAATTGTATAGTATGTATTAGTCTGGGTAGACTAGATAAACAAATTCATAAACACGCATATGTATATAAGAGAGAGTTTTATATAAAGGGTAATTGTACATTAAGAAAACATCCCAACCCAGTGCAGTCCAAGGTCACAAGTTCGATATTAGCCCATACTCTGACACCAATCTGTAAAGTCCTCTTCAGACTCAGGAAACACATGCAATCATGCCAAATGCAGAACGATCACAAAGGGAAGAAAGTCTTTGGATCCAGTGACGTAAGCATCTCAGCACTGGCAGGGGTCTCTCTTTGGTTTCTCCGGCTTCAGAGGTCTGGTTGCATTAGGGTAGTTCCATGTGTCTTGTCAGCTGCCATCTCTCCCAGGGAAGTCAGCAGAGAGAGAGAAGTGTCTCCAGCCTCCAAGGAGAAGTACCGCGTTTCCCAGAATTCTCAGGACAAGGCCATACCCACAGAAAGGCCTCATTGGCTATGATCTTATTGACAAGCTAAATTCCACTCCTACACTCTTAATCCTGAATTGACAAACGATTATATATCTACCACATAGTATAAGAACATTACAGCTGTGTTTTATTATTTCCCTTCTTTTCACCTCTGTGTTAGAGTCATGTATTTTATAAATCCAAATATGTTATTTTTGCTTTAAAGAGTTATCTTTTAAAGAGATTTTTATACATAAGGAAAAGTGTTGTATTTATCCTCTTATGTATGGGGTTTGGGTCCTCTTCATTCTTTTGTATTGATTCAGATTTTTCTCTACTTCCCTTTTCCTTATATTTGAAAGACATCTTTTAATATTTCTTGTAGTACTTGGTCATGAATTCTTTCAGCTTTCCTATGTCTGAAAAGATTGTTATTTAGCCTTTGTGAAAGATGTTTTGCCATGCTGTTAATGATGGTAGGTGCGGTAAAGTCAGTTTTGACTCATGTACACCAGAATGAAACCCAGTTCAGTCTTCTGCCGTCCTCACATCTTTCCTGTGTTGGAGCCGATGTGGCAGCCACTGTGTCAGTCCGACTCATTAAGGGTGTTCCTCTTTTTCTCTGAACCTCTACTTTTACTTTGAAATTCTCGTTTTATTAGCATCAGTTTGTTTTTATTCCCATTTCTACTATTTTTTAACATGTATTTTTCCTGACAAAGGGCGTGCTGTGACTGTTACTTCTGTTCTTCTTCGGTGTTGTGCCTTGTTTTTTCCGGCTGGGTTTTAAGATTTTTCTGTCTCCAGTTTGTGGATTCCTAAGATTTGGAATCGACGGTGGTGGGTGGACAGTAATTCTTCTAAGTACTCTGCTTGGTGCCTTTGTATTGTGTTGGTCCTGCTTCTTGTGGTGTAGGAAACACAGAGTATTCCTAGCGGATTATAAACCTTTAGAAATGGTTCTGCCTTCTCCACTGGCCCTTTCTCGTCTGTGAGGTAGTCCCTTCTAATGTACACATAGGCCAGTACTCAGCCAGCCTCAAAGGGTCTCTTCTGGGTTTCTCCAGGCTCTCTGTTCAACTAACTTCTTTCCATTGATTCTAGATACACTGGCTTATCTGAACTGAGTTTTGCCACCACAACTTGGTGTGACTGCTGAACTATTTGTTGTATTCCTATCTGTGCTGCAGCTTCTCAGCCTGTGCTTTTATCAGTCATCGTGTTTGCTTCCCTTTTCTTACGGGCTGCGCTCCTGTGCTACTGCCTTTGTTTTGCCTGGCTTTCTAGTTATGGTAAGCGAGTCAAGCCTGTGTACCAGCCCACTGTCTTTGATTTGGTTCTGACTTAGCTTATAAAGGCTTGTTCGCATCACAGTTTCTGTAGAGTTTTTTCCTGCTTGCCACTGGCACAGTGACTGTTGTTGTCTGTTGTTGTTAGGTACTGTCAAGTTGAATTTGAATCATGACATCCCATGTGTGCAGATTAGAGCTGGAGCAGAATCAAACTGTGCTGTATGGGGGCTTTTAAGGCTGTGACCTTCTGGAAGCAGATCACCAGGCCTTTTTTCCAAGCGCCTCAGTGTGGGGGGTTTGAACTGTCAGCATTTCGGCTAGTTACCCAGTCAGTACTTGGCAGCCATTTGCGCTGTCCAGGGACTGTGGCATGAAGTAATTGTGTTCTGAGCTATTTTTAAAAAAATTAATTTTATTGGGGGCTTGTACAATTTTTATCATAATCCATACATACATTCATTGTGTCAAGCACATATGTACATTTGTTAGCCTCATCATTCTCAAAACATTGGCCTTCCACTTTAGTCCTTAATATCAGTTGCTCATTTTCCCCCTCCCTCCCCAATCTGCCCTCCCTCATGAACCCTTCATAATTCATAACTTATTATAGTTTTGTCATAAGTTACACTGAGCTATTTTTATATAATGAAACGGCTTTATATAAACCATAATCCCAAGTAAAATGACTGTAGTATGTATTTCCAAAGTTTGGATATCTGAGCAGTCAAAGAGTTTGGTTGGCCTTATGGGCTTTTAAGTAGTTGCCCTCTGTTCATAAGTGAAAAATTGGAAGAGGTCATATTTCTCACAGATAGAAACAAAATCAAGAAAGTGACAAAATACAAAGCAAGTAGCTTGTTTCAGCTACTGTCTAGTAGTCTCTGATCTCATGGTTTGAAAATAGCTGCCAAATTAATGCCTACACGGAAATAACCTTATTATTTCCATTAAATTACAAAATTAGCCACACTCATTATTTACCCAAAAATGACTATAGAATTTGATCACATGTATGTCTTTGGTTAATATTGCCATAGATGTGTGTGTTTGCATAAATAAACAAAATAATTTACCCATTTTAAGTCATAGAATAATTAACCAAAAGACAAGAAATTTTAGATCTATTTCATTAAAGTAGTTCATTGCCTATTTAAATTTCTAAGTTCTTGATCTGGTGGATCTGTGTATTATAAGAGGGTTGATGTTTTAGAATATGTTTATTGTAAATCTCTTACTTGCTCTAAGTTTGGTGACTCACAAGTAATAATAGTCATATTGTGCATGAATTTTCAAATTCCGATTGTTGGCTCTTTCTTTTCAGTGTTGTCCTGGAAATTGTCTCCCTTGTGATCAAAACTGTGGACGGACTTTAGGATGTAGAAACCATAAGTGTCCATCTGTCTGCCATAGAGGTAAAATTTGTAATTCTGTATTTGTTTTTACGTACTGCTTATAGAGTTTTTTCACATTTGTTACCTTACTTGATCTTTCTCATAATTCTGAGGAGCAGGTAAGACAGTGGCTAATATCTCTATCTTAAGGGGAGAGGAGAATGGTGCTCGGTAACCTACTGAGGGAAATATTTAGTTAAGTAATAGAGCCAAGAGTAGAACACAGATCTTGTTTACATAAAAGTTTTGCTCTTTCTGTAACACTGTTGTTCATTACATTCTCCCAAGTTTTCCCATATAGTTGTTAAAATAAGATATTCATAATCCTTTTCCTTTTTATTCACAATTTGGGGTGGGGTTTTTTTTCTGATGTGAAACTGAATCTAGTAAGGGATTGAATATCTCCTCAGGCAATGGTTCTCAAACTTTCATATGAGGATCCCACCTTTACACTCTTTGGCCCTCAAAGAACTTTAATTAATGCGGGTTGCACCCATTAATATGTACTATGTTAGAAATTAAGACAAAATGGAATGATATATTTTAATTAATTGTAATCTTAGAATACCTTTTATGTCTGAAGACAAATACCATTTTTCTCATGAAAAATAATTATACTTTCTGAAATTAAATAGATATTAGCGAGGAGAGATTATTTTTTGCAGCTGTCTTTAATGTTTAGCTTAATTGAAGGTAGCTGGATTCCCATATCTCCTGCAGTTATACTGCAGTAGTATTACTTGTCATATAGTCTGTAGAAAACTACTCTATGCATGTGAGAAAATAACTCTTAGTTATTTTGAAAATTATTTTGACCCTGCAACTTCCAGAAAGGGTCTCCAGAAAGGACCATACTGTGATATTGTATCTGGAGCTATTATTAGACATTGAAAACTTACATGAGTTACATTTTACCCTTAGTTGGAGTATTTCATTTCATGCTCCTTAATTGGGTAGAACACTCATAAGTTGAAATGAATTGACGTTGATTAGAAAAAAATTCCTCCAAGGTACATGGAGTTACCATGATTTGATTTAATTAGTGAGCAAATGGGAAATGAGACTGTTAACCCAAGTTTATATAGCAAGTTGCAGGCTCAGCCCAAAGTTGGTATTTCTCTTTTACTTCATAGCCTTCCCATTACAAATAGTGTCAGATTCTGTTTGCCCTGTAGACATTTTCTGTGGATTTCTTCTTTAAATTAGGAAGGCTAGAGCTAGTGTTTTCCGTGTGCACTCACTGTTTCTAAATGGATTTTATTTTTATTCTACACTGCCAGGGTTCTCTCTACCTGATCCTGCTCACTATGCCCATTGTCTCAAAGCAGTCCAGAGAGGCTGAGTTCTTCCACCTTTGACACCAAATGTGTGCTGTCTATCAAATTTCACTCCACACACCAACCGCGCCCGTTAGAAATCCCAGCTTCTCTTACCTGGTCAGTCCAGATCCTAGCTACTACATGCAGCCTCTTCTGTTTCATCCTCATTCATCATTGGCTAGGTCAATCGCTACTGGCCCTGTCTTTGTTTTTGAGTTCCCATAATCTCTTGGACTGACTTGCAAACTTCTAGGGAGAGGACCATCTTTAATTTGTCAGGGAAAGAAAAAAGAATGTAAATAAAGAGGGTGAGGTCAGTGAGTGCAGGCGTTCCTTGTCCCAAAGGGCAGACGTACTCTTCTGGGAGGAGGTGTTTGCATTAATCAGTCAGGAAGCCTCACTAAGTCTCTGCTTCCAGCGGCTCGATTTAGCCTCACCACCAGTCCAGGATGGGTTCCATCCTGCCCCTGTGGCTTAGGTAGCTCTGACTCCCAAGTCACCATTGATTGGCTTCTAGTGTGATTCAGCTCCACCAGGACCAAAAGCCAAGTTAGTCATTGGAAGATGGTTCTTTGCCTCACATTTTCTGTTAATCATATTACATCATTGACCCATTTAATTTAAATTTTACTAAAATTCTGAAGTCAGTCTTTAGTTCACTCAATGTTTTTGAGTGTCTGTTAAGTACATGTAATTACATGGGTGGACAAAATTGACAAAGTCCATGTTGTCCTGGGAATAATTTCTAGAATACAGCAAAATAATCAAGATAATATAAGACATCAGGTATGAGAGGCATACCGTGAAAATGAAAGTAAAATTAAAATTGTGATGATGGAAATGGTGTGTTTTGCATAATATGATCACTCACAAGTAGGTGCTCTAAAGATAATGTGTGAGAGGAGATCTGGAGAAAATAAGGAATGTAACTGGGGGAGGGGTGGGGTTGGGTCAGGGTCGTTAGTATTCCTCACAAGAAAGCAGTGATTGCAAAGTCCTTAAGACCAGAACATGGAAGAACAACCAAGAGCCCAGTGTGAGAGAAGTGGATTGCTCACGAGGACAAGTAGTGGGTGATCAGGTCAAAGAGATGATGGTCAAAGGATTGCTGGGGGAAGGAGACATCTTACAGAGCCTTTACACCATTGGGAAAAACACCAGCCTGTAGTTAAAACCTTAGCCTTTAGGAAACCTTACTAGTTCTTCTCTAGTTAGCTATTAGGAAATGGGATGAGTAGCTTAAAATTTTCCCATCAAACCTTGTTGACTTTTATTCCTGAGTCCTAACAAAGAAACATTTAAGGGATACATGCTTTCAGTCTCTTCATAAACTACTTAAGAGCATGTAAAATAAAGGGGAAGGCACACCTTAAGTCATTATCTCGTGATGGTAGAAAATTACAAACCAATCTAACTTAATGAAAAGGTTTTCAAAATACTAAAGTTTTAGATAACCCAAATATAGCCATCTAAAATTATAATGTTAACTGTCCATATGCTTATCATGACCAAGTTGAGCTTTTTCTCTTGTCAGTTTGGTTTAGGGCGGTGGTGATGAGCTGCTGGGAAGTTGATTATACTTATATTTAATGTCATTAATGAGACATTATTGGAGAATATTCTAAAAGTAGTATAACTAAATTAGCAATGTGTATGAAAATAAGCTCAAAATTTTATTGTCATTAAAATTTTCAAATGCTTTAAAATTTTCAAATACTTAATTCTTTCTGCTTCGGAGTTTTTAATGAGCAATTGTGTGTTAAATTTATTTAGAGCAGAAGGTTTAGCAAGTCTTGAAGAAAATATAGAACATACATTGTACGTATTGAAAAGCCTATGGCCTGATACATTTTTGGGAACCAAACTTAATTATGTAAGCAGAACCTAAATCAAGAAAGAATATTGCCAGCATTTCGGAGGCCTTCCCCGTTCTTCAGCATCCTAGCTTCTAATAATACAGATTATTCTTTGATTGCTTTATATAGATGGAATCATGTAGTAGGTACTCTTTGTGTCTGGCTTTTTCACTCTGTGCTATGCATGTGATATTTATTCATATTGTGATGTTTTTTTCATTGCCATTAAAGAATATTTCATTGTGCATGTACTAAGTGTATTGAACCATTATGCTATTGATGGCTGTTTGAGTCATTAAGGAAACTGCCCCCTCCCACCCATCCAGGTAGTTGCTATCCCTGCCCAGAAACTGTAGATGTCAAGTGCAATTGTGGTATGACAAAGGTGACAGTACCCTGTGGCCGAGAACGGACCACAAGACCACCGAAATGCAAGGCGCTATGCAGGTTAGTACAAAGCTTTGCAAAAACTTTCTGTCAGTCTTACAAATTTAAAAACTATTGATTTTGAGTATCGGCAATTTAATTTCATTTTGCTCTTTAGTGTTTGAAATTGTTAATATTGAGTATGCTTAGGCTATATGGAATCAGATGACATACGTACATAATTGCACTTTAGATGTAATTGTTCCGTGCTGAATAAATAATTTAAAAATTGTACTTTATGATTTAGTCGACCACCAACTTGCCATCATACAACTCAAGAAAAACATCGCTGTCATTTTGGCTCTTGTCCTCCGTGCCATCAGCCTTGCCAACAAGTTTTGGAGAAATGTGGTCACTTGTGTCCTGCTTCATGTCATGATCAAGCATTAATAAAGCAAACTGGCAGGGTAAGGGAACAATGTTATTAAAGAGGTTTATTGCTTTAAAAGAGGTACATTGCTATAAAAACCTATGGGTCACATTTTCTTGATTTTACTTAGTTACTCATTAAAGAGGTAGTACATTGCTTTAGAAGCCCATGGGTCACATTTTCTTGATCTATCTTAGTTATGCACTTACGGTTATTGAACACTGTGCTAGGACCTTGCATTTATGGTGAATTATAGATTTGGTCTTTTCTCTTAAGCAGCTCACAGTATAGAGGAGAGAAACCAATAAACAAATGTGTGCAACTACTATATGACAGGCTCTTCATAATCGCTATAGAGATGAATTTTCCAATCTTTTAAAAAAATCCCTTTTCATTTATTGAGGAGCCCTGGTGGCCTTGTGGTTATGCATTGGGCTGCGATCTGCAGGGTTGTTAGTTCAAAACCACCAGTACTTCCTCGAGAGAAAGACCGTTTTATACTCCCATAATTACTTGCAGTCTTGGAAATCCACTGTTAAATTCTTGTAAGTCAGCATTGACTCGATGGCAGTGGGTCGTTATCCCCCCTTGCCTCATATATTGTGGTATAAGGTTATAAATATCTCCTGGTTTCTTTAAAGACTTGTTGAACCCTTACTATGTGCCAAGCACTCTTCCAGTTCTTTGGGAGACAACAGTAAATGAAAGACTGGTAGGGGTTAGAATTTACAGTTCTAATTTTCACTCTCCCATTAGCTTACAAGCAATACAGGATGCTGCGCTGCCTTTTTTCAACAACTTGAAAATTGGAGCTTGCTTCAGTTTTTAATCTCAAAATGTACGTGGAGGGAAATACTCGTTAGAATAAATTGGAATAAAATAGTAAGCACTGAAAATGGAATTAAAAGAAAATTGATTTCTTTCCCACAAACTTTCTAAACCCCTTTGCTTACTTGAAAAACTGTCAGTCTGCTTGAATGGAGGCTATTTGAAACTGTAAATTCTTATAATGGCCAGTGTGACTTACCCATGTGATATAAGATGGGTGTGTACTTTGATTGTAGTGCCAGCCTACAGTCCCCTGGGAACAGCCTTCTGAGCCCACGTTTGTACCGACTGCATTGCCTTGTCCTCCATGTCAAGTTCCTATTCCTATGTAAGTATTAGTATTTGTGGTTACATTTACATCTACACCCCCTTCCCCTCTTAGTACAAGTCATCATCACTTTAGGGCCAACATGTCTTTGTGCTTCTCCCTCTTTCTCTCCCAAATGTGATGAAACCTTGTGAGAACCAGAACTTGAGGGGGCTGCCTTGTTTTTCCAAGTCTCGAAAATGTTCAGCCTTTGTCAGGATGTAGTCTTACACTTTTCTGTTGTTTGTTTTAGTAGAATATTTGTCTTTTTCTTCTGACAGGTTTCCACTTTATGCAGATTCTGGCTTTTACAGACTTTATTGTATATTTGCCACTTCTTGAAAGCCCATCCCTAGAACTTTTTTAGTCTTTTCTTCTACTGTAGTCTGATGCCCTTCGTAGCTCCCAAAGCAACTGGTGCTTACAATGACAGTGCATCCAAGAGTTTATCTTATGCTTGTTTTTCCTGACTGATCTTCGTGTTAGTCAATAAGCTCCTTGAGGATAGAGGAAAATCAAAGTTTAGATATGCCAAAGCTGGAAGAGAATGTTTGAGGGAAATGTTGAAAGATGAAATGTTTCATAGATGAGCCAAGGAATGACTAAGACTGAACTGCAAGGAGCTCATCTTAGGATAAGAGGGAATTCTAGAATGGTTTTTAATTTTAG